TGTGTGGTGTTTCACCCCACAGACACTTTGGGCTGGCTGGGTGTGTGGTGTTTCACCCCAGAGACACTTTGGGCCGGCTGGGTGTGTGGTGTTTCACCCTGAGACACTTTTGGCTGCCTGGGTGCTGCAGCTGGGCCTGTGGGGACAAGTGCAGGCCTGCAGGAGCTCTGAGGGCTGCAGGATGGAGCTTCCCCCCATAACAGGGGCTGCTCCTCAGGTCTCCCTCTGTGGAGAAGCTTTAAGGCGATGGTGAAGGAAAGGAGTGGGTTCTGATGGAGGGTTTGGATGCAGAGCTTTATTCTGGCCCACAGGCCTCTGAATGCAGCACCAGCTCCAACAGAACTCCCTGAGCCCGTGGTTGCTGCTCCTTTGAACCCTGGGGAGAGGGGAGGGAAGGGGCAGGGAGCCACCAAACAGGGGAGGGACAAAGGGACCAAGGACACCTGGATGGCCCAATGCCCCCCAGGGGTAGAGGGTATCCTTTGGAACTGCCAATCACTCGATGCCCTTCTGGAATTCCAGGATGAACAGACAGTGCTGGGAGGGGAAAAGAGAGGTGACTGACACAGCTGGCAGGGAATTATCAGAGGAGGGACAAGGTTCTGAGGTAAACCCTGAAATCACAATGCAGCAGTTCACTCTGCTGTAAACACTTAAAAAGTTTAATAAAGGACAGTAGAAGACAAAGACAATAAAGCAAGGATTTACTGCCAGGTGCCTCTTTGCATTCAGCCAAAAGCACACCTGCTAATTTGGAAACACCCTTTATAGACTATTTCTATTGAATTAGCCTGTGACATATGCATAAACAATATAAACAGAATATATTTATATTGTTTTATATTTACTATTATATTTTTATTGTATAAATACAATATATTTGTGTTGCTTTATATTTACAATTATATATATTATACAATATTTCTATTGTTTATTAATATGTCACAGGCTAATGCAATAGAAATGGTCTATAAAGGGTGTTTCCAAATTATTTCTATTTCTAGCAGGTAATATTTACTATTATATTTATATTTTTTATATTTACTAATAGTAAATATTAAAATTATAAATACAAATATAAATATAATAGTAAACTTTTCCCCAAAACTAGTTTACATATTCCCAGAATTGTTTAGCATAGCTCCACCTCAGATCTGCCTTTTTAGAGCATGCATATTCCTTGGCTGTGGTTTTAATCCATTCTTATCATCACCTTCAGTTTTGGGCCTTGGTTTCTACCAATGGTAAGTGTTGATAGTTGGCACATCAGTAGCAGGGTCCTCATCATATATTCCTTGGATATTATCCTATCCAAGCAAGCATTTTAACACAAGCATATCTATATAAGATATTTCTAAGTTTCTAAGCTATTTCTAAGTTTCAGTTAACAACAGAAATAATCTGTGTCTTCATAGCAAAGTTACTTTAGCCCTGCACATATAGAATCCATTTTAATATTTGCAAAAAGCCAATATTATAACATATATCTATAACACAAGTGAGATGTGGGGGCTGAATGGAGCCACCCCCTTGGCACCAGGCCTTGGGCCAGCCTGGGGAAGAGCAGCTGCCAGGCTGAGATGACTTTTTTTGGGCAAGATTTCTTCTGTGGATGTCTGCAGATGGATGTCTCCTGTTTGGAGATTTGCCTTGGGTAGAAGGGGCTCTGCTGTAGGTTTGGGGTTTCCAAGGAGAAGGTTGTGCAGGAGCCTCCTGCAGACCCCCAGCCCCTTCCCCACCAGCCCAGACCCACAGGTCCCCACACCCTGCTCCCAGCCCAGGGCAATGCCCCCCGCTCATCCCTTTGTCCCCCCAGAGGGACACCGGCACCTGCACAGTGTGCCAGGGCTATGAAATCCCTCCCAGGCTTGCCCAGCACTGGGAATTCAATCTAAGTAGAGCAGGAACTCTTTAAAAGTTAAAGGCTTGGGAAAATTGCCTCTTTTATTATTAATAAAGTGGATAATGCAGTGCAAGGCTCCCTCACTGAGCAGGGAGTGAGCTGGGGGCTTTGCAGCTAGGCTGGGCTGGGCTGTCCTTCCCCCCTGATTGCCCCATACACCCCCAAATTTGGTGTTAATTTGGGCTGGGCTGGGCTGTCCTACCCCCCCTGATTGCCCCATGCACCCCCAAATTTGGTGTTAATTTGGGCTGGGCTGGGCTGTCCTACCCCCCCTGATTGCCCCATGCACCCCCAAATTTGGTGTTAATTTGGGCTGGGCTGGGCTGTCCTACCCCCCCGATTGCCCCATGCACCCCCAAATTTGGTGTTAATTGTGCAGCTGGACTGAGCTGTCCTGTCCCCCCTGATTGCCCCATGCACCCCCGAATTTGGTGTTAACACCCATTTGGGCAGGGCTGGGGCTGTACCTCAGCCTAGAGCCAGGGTGAGGGCTGTGAAATGCCTAGGGGTGTTTCTGTGCTGGAGAAGAAAGAGGGGATCAATCTCCAGGAGAGAGATGAGGAAGGACAGCACTGAGGGGGATGAACCACACAGCTCCTCTCCCCCTGCTGGCAGGGGCTCAGGCCCTTCTGAAATGTTTTATGGTGCCCCCAAAACACATCTTCTGCTCAGCAACCTCTCTCTTCCCTTTCCAGAGGAGATCAGGGCTGAAACAGAAGAGGTAGGTCCCCAAAAATCACCTGTGTGGGCAGCCCAGGGAAAAGCAAGGATGTCAGTACCTGTGGAGTACCAGTGTGTGGGCTGCCTGTGGCATCAGGGTCATGCAGCTTCCAGCACTGCTCTCTCCCAGTGCCAGCCTTTCCCAGCCTTTCCCAGCCTTCAGTGGCAATGGATTTTCTCCCTGCCTTGTTTCTAGAGCTGGCAAACCTGGGAGATGTGGTGCCTTCACACACCTTTCCTGCTTTGGGGGTTTTTACCATCAGACCCACAGAATGGCTCAGATCAAGGGTAAACTGTTCCTGTAGTAGATTGGAGACATTCCACGCTGCCAAAGGAATTCAGTGTGTTGGGAATGGGGCACCCCAACTCAGTGGGAATTACAGCACATCATCCTGAGGCTGGGGAGCAGCTGGATTCAGAGTAAACCATTTTCCAGCACTCCCTATTGCAGTGGGTTAAACCCCACTGTGTGTGTGAGGCTGCTGCTCCTCTCTGCCATCCAGCTGTGAGCAGGAAGCTGCAGCCATTCCAGCAGGGATTGCAAAATCCAGATGGCACTGCTGTGTTTCAGGTGTCCTCCCAACACCCATATGCTGAGGACTTCATTGGGAAACCCCACGTGTGGACTGTTGACTACAACAACTCTGAGGAGTTCGAAGCTGCCATCAAAACCATCATGAGGACAGAGGTAGGGCTAAGAGCAGTTTTGGGGTGACCTCCCCCTTGCTGGGTTTGGACAAATGTCTTGGTTTGAACAGACAGGTGTCTGCTAAGGAAGGCAGGAGCCTCCCTTGAAATGGAATACGTAACCCCCCCTCCCTCTGAATGGTTATAATTTTGAAATTGTATAATAATAATTATATTATATATTATATAATAATAATTATTATAATTTTGACATTTTGTTCTCAGGCAAAGATATGGGAATAGAAATAACAGTTCTTTATTAGGAAAAAATATTAAAAGAAAATATAAAAATAAAAATGCAATAATAGAAAACAACACTGCCAGAGTCAGAACAGCAGCTGCCCCCCTGTGTGTCAGGGCGGTGTCCCAGCCCCATCCATGGGGGCTCAGCCCTCCTGCAGTGCCAGCTGTGGCTCTGCTGCAGCAGGGATCCTGCACAAGGGGGGAGTTTTCCTCTGCAGCTCCAGGGCTGCTGCAGATGGGCCTGGGCTCCCTCTGGCCATGCAGGGCAGCAGAAAGCTGCTCCTCTGGCAATGCAGGGGGCAAAGGCTGCTGTGCTGGGCCAGGCTCAGATTGGATCCAGGTAGGAATGCTTGGCTCCTCCCCTGGGCGGAGCATCTCCCCATGGGATGCTGGGATTGGATCAGCCCTGCAGGGACACTCAGTGGCCATGGACAGCAGAGATCTCCTGGAGGGAGGGTTGGTGTGGGAGAGATAAAGAAAAAACTGCCCCAGGGACAGCAGAGAACTGCCCCAGCTCTGACAGATGGTGATAGAATACAGACCCCCATTTCCAACGTAAGACAACAAGCAGCAGCAGATGTTGGAGCCTGGCTCTTCTTTTCCTTTCCTTTCTCCTTTGGATTTTTTGGTCCCTTCCTGCAGCCCCAGGGGCACAGGTGCTCCCACCTTCCTTTGGCATTGTAGGTGTTTCCCCAGGGCAGAGCTGTGCTTTTGAAGGATCCCCTGGGAATCCTGTGGGCAGGCCTGGAGCAAGGGAAGGCTGAGATAAGGTTTGGGAGCAGCAGGCTGAGGCTGCTGCAGGGAGAGAGCAGTTCTGCAAGCTGGTGTGATAACAAAGATAAACCCAGAAAGATGCAGCCCTCTCCACCTGCCTTCCCCTCACTTTACTGATTGTTTCCTTTGGATGCAGAAGATCAATGAGAATAACTCAGGAGTTGCCTCTGCGAGGGATGTAAGGAAGGGAAGAACCCCAGGGAAGGCAGCACTCCTGATGTGCCCACTCTCGAAACACTCTTAATGAATATTTAGCTCCCACCCTGTGGCAGGAGCCTTTCAAGTTGTCCAAATTATTAAAGTCAGTTTTCCTGGAGGGGAGGAAAGTGTTGATAGCCATTTTGCTGGCCATTTGCTTCAGCTGGGATGAGCTGGAGTTCAGGGATGTGCTGTGGAACCCAGGCTCTGCCTGGGGCTGTGTGGGCTCAGGTGTGTTGGTTTGGAAAGACAGGAGTCTGCTAAGGAAGGCAGGAGCCTCCCCTGAAATGGAGAATGTAAATCCTCCTCATCCCTCCCAATTGCTATAAATTTTAAACCAAGGGGCTCTCAGGCAAAAAAAAAAAAAAAAAAAAAAAAAACAAAAAACATGGGAGCAGGAAATAACAGTTCTTTAATAGGGAAGAAAAAAATAAAAAGGATAAAATAAACAATGCAGTAACCAAAACAACACTGCCAGTGTCAGAACCCAACCTGACACCCTGTGGGTCAGGGTGTTGGCATTGGAATTGTGGCTCAGCCCTCCTGCAGTGTCAGGGC